GCCGCGAGCTGCTCGAGTCATGGTTCTCAGGCTCCCAGTCTATCAGCAAGCGCAACGATTTGGCGTTCGCCTACTGCGTACTGAAGGACACAATATTAAATCAGCTAAAGGGAGAAAAGGAGGCGGAGGAGATTGGCGCAAACCAAGTCGTGATGAAAACTAGCTGCTTAATTACCAAGATAATTGGAGATTGATCCTGTAGGCTATCTGCTTACACAAGTCGGGTTTCTCAAGCCGTAAGTAGTGCAAGGTTCGATATGTTCGGGTCCGGCTATGTACTCGGAAAGGTGTTTTGAGGTCGATCGAGTGCCCACTGTTTAGCAGGTTTTTAGTAATCGAAGATTTTGATACTCTTCGTTCTTGCTGGAAAAGATCATTAGGAAAGTGCCCAGTGGCCCTGGCTGCCAGTTACCTTTGCTTACGCCCAAAGTACTTGTATATGCCAATGCAGGTGACAAGGCATCATTTGCCCCTTTTACCGGAAGAGCTGATGAAGACAAGTTCAGCTGCGTTGTACGTCCTTTCTATGGTCATATTATAAAGACACTCGCACCATTGCCACAAACCGGATTCTCAATGACGAAGTCTCAGTAAGGAATATTGGAACTAACATTGTTTGCGAATAAATTCTGCTATTCTGTCTTGCTTCAAACCATGACTCAAGCAGCTCACAGCTCATGTGTTTTTCACCATGCCGTTGGAGTCCAATCACTTTTGGACGAAATTACAATGCTGCATAAAGCACCGACATTTTTGTGAGAGGAAAACTGTAATTCAAGTTAATATCCAAAGTATTGAGACAAATACCACAGAATTGCACAGATAAAGGCTAATAATTGACGAATGCTCAGCTCAATTATACTTCAATCTTTTTAGCACACATAGTTAATTTACCCCAGGCTGTTTCCCTCCAGCCGCCTGCAAACACAGCCATCTATTTAAATAAGTGCTTCAGCAAAAATACAACTTCCTCGACGATTTTTTAAGCCTTAATGCCTTTCAATATACTTTATATAATAAATGCACAATCAGTATTTCCCGAGTATTACCTGCAAAGACAAGGGAGACCGGAATGAAATTTTCGAGCTTATTAGCTGTCTTCAGGCAGTCACCCAAACTCCAAGTGGTGCACCATTTGAAGTTCGCATTCGCGACCTTTTCGATCACAGTCTTATGCTCTAACAAGTGATGCCGAACTTTCTATCATACCGATTTAGATCTGAAGATATTGACGCTTGATTAACGTTCACCGGCTATGGCTAATAAGCCGGAGATGGCCAATACAGTCTCCCTTGTCTTTGCCGGCAATACTATCTGTTATCAACTTATTGGTCCTTCCTAGTCATTGTATTTCCTTCCATCAGGACTTAAGTAGATCACAAGTCCAGTCTACAGTTTCCCTCACTACCTGGTTTACGCGCAGGACATCTCGATGACTACCGTTTGATCTTTCGTTAACGCGCGGCCAACTGACCATCAGCACTGGAGTCTGCTATCCTCAGTCCGCTGTGCGGAAAAAAAAAACAGTGAGAAAGGTAAGAATAAAATTGGTGCCACATTACAGGTACCGTTGCTTCGTCTATCGACTGTCCTCAAATTGGCGCTCGCGAGTGGACTGTCACCAACCGCTAGCGGAACTCATTTTTCTCATTTATCGGGCCCTGACAGCAGCCGTAACGGCTAGTAGTCTTAGGCAGTTATTTATGTCGGCAAAGACACGGGATGCTGGAGTGGCAATTGCTGGCTTATTATCCAGCCCAACCCAAATCCCAAGGGGTGAACCACCTGGACCTCGAAGTTGGGACTTTTCTGATCCAAATTTAACGCTCTAAACTCTGAACCATGAGCAACATTATCTGCCGCTACGCCTGTTTTCATCGATGAGTGCTGTTGCCATCTTCAAGCTGTATTCTGTCTTTCAAAAATCCCACTTTTTAAATGTATTTTTTATATTATGTACATTATATATATTATATGTATTATATATTATATATAACATACGCTGTATATTATATTATTATATCATTTTTGTATATTATGTTTTTGACTGCCAGCGTGTGTATTACATGATTGCAGAACAGTCCCCCAGCTGGAGCTCAGCTGGCCTCCGACAGAACACAGTGAAGAGCAGCAGACTGTCTACTGTGTGGCGATAAATGACCGAGAAAGTCTGCTCCACCAGTGCTCCGCTGCAACGCGACTGCATTCCCCCAGTGGCCGACTGCACCCGCAAGCGCGGTTTGACCAAAGCTACCTTCTGCGGCCCGCCGTCTTTGGCAAGACAGCAGCACTCCGGTCGGCACCAATCAGAAACTACATATATTCATGTACCAATGCTACTGAGTTGAGGGTAAAGAACTAATTAGTACCTTTCGGTGATTTTTGCCTATGGGTTGTTTTATGCAGCAAAACGAGCAATCTTTATGAATAAGGTGTGTATCTTACAGCAAAACCGTGTTCCGGATATATAATGGACATAATAATCTCGCAGACCACTATACAGGCCTTATTGGGCAATCCGATTCCTCAAGGCAATTCCAAATTAAAATCAGATCAAAATTCTCATTAACTTCCCTTAGAGGGTTTGGGCGTGTCCAAGGCGATTCTCCGTCTGATCCTATTTGCCTCGTTGGTTGACGTTCTCGACTGCCAGATCCTGAGGGATAGAAGTAAAAAAGGGACGTGACATCGAAGGTGACGTATACTGTTGATAGCGAAAAAAACGAACAAAGCTACATGGAAATATTAAATTGATCTGGGGATTCAACATATCTTGCTCGTCCACTCTTAAATATACACGCGAGGAGGATAAATAAGCAAGTCAAGCGAAGCGGGGACAAAACTGACCGATCCGATTTGTTTTGTGGGTTTATGTCCGCTATTATCGATCACGGTAGTCATCAGCAGGCCCGTGATTGGGCTGAATCCCGGAGGACAGAGAGTGGGAGCGGTTCGTGCTTATGTATTCAAGGACTCGAGACTCGTTGCCCTGCAAGTAACACATCGTGAGATACGCAGCTTGATGCCCCGTCTGTTTAGCCATCTTTTATGATGTTTAACTGCCCTTAGTGATTTCAGCAAATACGTGCAGAATTACGGCCAACGCTACATTCCAGCAGCAGGGTCTTCCTTGACACTCATTGATGAACTTTCACCGATCGCTAACGGGACTCACGCGTCTCATTCTGCGTTTGATCTGATTTTCGAACACAGACAGAACCCGCACAGCAGCTAGCGGTATAGGCAGTTAGAAGTGCAGTGAATTCGATCCAAGACAGAGCGGAACTAATGAGTTTCATAAGCGATCGGTGAAGGTTCATCACGGAATTTCAATATCTTCCGATATAAACTGGCACGAAAAGGAGTTTGTTGCTCTATGATTTGAATGTTAGACTTCTGAGCAATCGGTCACGAGTTCAAGTCTCGGGTGGTGCACCGCTTGAGGTTGCGTATGATCGACTGACGACGGCTTATAAGCCATAAATGACCATCCCAGTCTCCCTTGTCTTTGACGGCGGAACCTTCAGGAAATAATTTTTACTGCGACGAAATATGCATAAAAGATAAATTTGGGCTTCGCGTTGCAGAATCTTGCAAAATATGGATAGTTCAGTTTAACTGTATATTTAAATTGTTTTAAATTGTTTCCAACTGCAATATTTCATTGTATTTAGATGGATGTAAAAGATTTATATCTTTACTTGGCGCACTTAAGTCCCATCGGGAAACAATTTTTGATTTGGTCTACTAGCTACGTATCGTTACCGGGCCCCTCTGAGGTTAACGGCGTTAGAAAAGTATACATTCCACAAAATGAAACGCTTACCAATAGAGACGTCATTAAAGTATATATTACCCCGCCCACCACAGATATGACAATGTTAGCTTTTAAATGAAATATTTAGTTTTACGGAAAATCTTGCCGGTTTGGTATTCACGAAGAGAAACCTTCAAAGCGTTAAATTTATCACAACCGATCATTAATAAGCCTATTTTTCAGTGTTTAATTTCCTTTCCAAAATTTCTGTTCGATGAATTCATTTTCATCGGGTGTCCTGAGATGTCAGCGTGTGGATGGATTTTAAAAGTCTCGCAGACGGGAAATGTACCCGAAAGTAGATCTTCGGGAGTAAAATCAGGCTAGTTGACTACCAAATGCCGCCGTATGCACAGATTGTACTATCAACAGGACACAGAATAGGCTATATATTGTTTAAAAACCTGAGCATCGGCGTAGCTGCTAAGTAATTTCCTAGGTTAGATTATATTTAACTGAAGTGTTTTTGGTCTTACAAGTAGGAAATCTCTATCTCCAATATCTTAAAAATGCAACTTTAGTAGAGGGTATTGCATCGCCTTATCAAAATCTATCTCTGTTATTATGAAACATTCGACATAACTTTTCTTTTCCTTGAAATCTCACGTGATATCTTAGGAAAAGTGTATGTGAAGTAAAGGCTACCTATTATAACACTTCATACGAAATTTCAGAAGGCACTCGTCTCAAAACGAACCCCTTACGACGCACAAAGTTCTAGCTATCTTCAGTGGAAGTGCTAATTGCATTTTGGGTATCTCACAGTTGCTCTGACAAGTGGGAGAGCAACTGTGTGAACAACGTCAAGAGTTTGACAGGCAACAAAAGAACACCCCGAATGGTGAGACAGCGTCAGAGATGGCTAAACTTCTGGCGTCGCTGACTGGTACTGTCCACGCCCACACAAAAGCTAGGCAACAGCATGCTTCAAACTTATTTCCGTTCGGTTTCGGTTGCTTTTTAGGGAAATATTCATGTGGCCATTTGAACTACCTATTTGTTTGCATGCAAATAGTGCTGTCAAACATTTAAAAAATGTAACATTTACACAACGGAGTGAGAGAAATCTGTCCTGATGGAATATGAGTCCTATATAATGAGCTTCTAAAAGTTATATCGGGAAAATGTAAGACTCGAATTGGCGTTCACGTTGTCCTGTGTTAAATCGCAGAACGGCCTACCGTGATGATCGCGAGTAGGTATCCTGTCCACGCCCTTAAATGTAATTCCAGTCCACGTACGATAGGGGAGAATCACTTACAACAGTACCAGTCATGAAAATGCTATTCTCAGGTTGTAAGTAGGAAGTAAGAGCATTCAACGGGATAGGGTTGATGTGTATCTGACGTTTCGGGTAGTTGATTTGTCTATGGTTTGCTTTTGGTTCTCACTTCATGCCGCTCCGTTTCCTGTCAATCCCGGCGGAGCCGATATTTGAGCCACGCGCCTCATTGCCGCCCTCTTTGTTGACCCTGTCTCTCACCGTAACGATACTGTTTATTTTGGCCCCAAGTGCATTGGTCATTTGTTGGGGCTCGTCGGCCCACTTCTTGTACTGGAGTGTTTTACTCCCATAAACATTGGCCGTAGAACTCGTTGGCGACACCGGTTTTCCGATTCCATGGCTGTTGCCTTACAAGAATGTTCTAAATACAACATAGGGGTAAGCAAATCGATGTGGCGGTTTACCGATCAGTCGGTCCACACCCAGGCTTCTTTAATCCGTCCTGTTGTGTGCTCTTCACCTCGGCCCACAATTTCAGCTGCGTCAAAGTTGAAGACGTGCCCAACGTCTGCAGCACGAATTGATTTCTCCGAATCTAGGTCGAATCATCTAACAGACAGCTAGTGCTC